AAACTTTTTCCCAGGGTGGAAGGGTCAATTACTAGGGGACACAGGTTCAAGGTGCATGGGGGGTGGATGGTTAAAAGAGATGTACGAGGCAAGTTTTTCACACAAAGGGTGATGAGTGCCTGGAACACGCTGCCAGAAGCAGACACAATAGCAGCATTCAAGAAGCACCTGGACAAATATATGAATACGAAGGGAATAGAGGGATAAAGATCCTGTAAGTGAAGACAGTTTTAGTGTGGAAGGGCAAAATGTGTCAGTACAGGCTTAGAGGGCCGAAGGACCTGTTCCAGTGATGTATTGTTCTTTGTTCTTGTTCTATAATTGTACCATTCAGCCTCTCTGCAAAAGCCTCCTGATGGGAGTGTGGAGCTGAGTTGGCTGTTTTACCCGCTATATGATATAATTGAGCAATAAATGTTAAAGTGAGGTGTAAAAGATAGTTGATCTAACTCATCAACACTTCCCCAGAAGAATCAAGTTAAAAGGATCTAAATCTGCACTGAATGCCAGATGGAAATACGCTTTATTAGTTTCTTGAACCTTAGTCCAGTACATCATAAATTCTAGCTGAACTTTCCAATAAATCATAGGGCACTGGCATTACCTGGCAATATAACAAGTTGTGGTGCAATATGTTGTAACGTATCAAAAGTATTTTTATAGCTTGCTGTTGTTGCAATGTTTGCAGAGTTCGTCCCAAGGATATTCTCCCTCTCATTTTCATTGCTCGTTAGTCAAAAATGATGTAATCCAGTCAGGTCAATGACATCAGACACTGTTGCCCTCAGCATTTTGACTAACAGCTGGGAAGTTGTTGTCAGTTTCCATTTATCCCCAGATACTTGGATTTAATGTACCTTCAAATGATTTTGGGTTTTACCCTGACCATGTAAATGTTCAGGACTTTGGTGTTACATTTTGGAATCAAAGCCAAAAATAATGACAAGTCTCTAGAGGTTTGCTTTCAGATTGAATTGAAATAAAAGAAAGACCGGTTTCAAAGAAAGTTGCCATCTGTCTTAGGGAGAAAAACCTTGAGCAACATTATTACAAAGCAGGGCTCAGGGCTGAAAGGCTTTAAATGTGGGTGTCATGTCTTAGGATTTGCTTCATCATTTTCCACTGGAGGGATTAAATAAAAGATTTGACATGTTTTATTTTATTCAAATGCATCTCTAAAAGTTTTTAAAAGGATACAGACAAAAGGTGATTAAGAATCAGTGAGGCTTTGAAGCTGCTTTGCGTTAGCTGTAAATGATAAGCAGGTTCTTAGCCTCTGACACTAATTGAGTGAAACCTCACATCGA